AATGTAGGATGTTTTATTAGCATTCGTACTCTGAATTTTGGGCTACATAAGCCAGTGCCTTTTTAGTAGTTTGTATGACATCTACAAGTGGCTGTGTGCTAATGGAATGTCAAACTTTCCAAATGTACAAGCCATGTCAACTAGGGCTAGGACTACATAAAAATAACCACTGCTGAGTGCTCCATGATCATTCGTCAAGGTTGAGACATCTTCTCGAGTTCATGCAGCAGGCTGAGGCCATTCCAGACAAACAGGGGTGTTTGTAGACCTATGTGAGACTGGCTCTGGTCTTTGTAGGGTAAATGAAAAGTTAGATGTGCTTAAAGTGGTAGTAAATCCTATATTTTTTTCTTTTGTCCATTGAAATCAATAATAAGCAAAGTACATGGTACTGTTTTTACAATCTCTCCAACATATGTCATTTTGTAGAAATCAAGAGAACTTCACCCCAATGACGTCACTGCTGCATGCGCCTATTTGCCATGATTCACAGCATGCTCTTTGTGCCGTCAGTCATTTTTGTAGGATGCCATGCCCACGTCACCCACTCTCAGCAGTATTGCATTGCAATCCCACAAGAGTACTTCCCCATTCTTAACTTCCTGAAACACCCCATGTGACTTGCTACTTCACAAGGGGGTGTAAACATTGGCAGCAATCAGGGGACAAGCAGTGGAATCGAGTTTACAGAGCTTCGTTCCCATAGTAACTGAGAATGAAAGCGAAGCTTAGCTAATTCATAAAGCGCATGCCTAACCCAATATGACGCAAGCTTCGGCTGGGATGTATAGAAGTGAAAGTAAGGGGAAAAAAAAGATACAAGGTTTTTCATCAAAGAATATAGCGATGTGTATTGTCATCACTTAGCCTATTGCTCTTATGTTTATTTCAATTCGTGGCGGCTCAGTCTACTACCGCTTTAATATTGGGAGCACCTATCTCTGTGCCAAAGAGGAATTTGTACATCGGTACAATAAATAAGGATGTGCTCATCTGGTATTATGCACACCCATCCAACGCAAATCTTTGCCCGTGCTGAGATGAGACTGAGCAGCCTTGTAGTGTAATGGCAGTTGTGAAGACTGAATGGTGACAACACTTTGGAGAATTACAATGGCTGCATACCATGTTGTCATCTTTTACTGGACACTCTGTCTCTGTAATTTTACTATCAAGAGTTTCACGTTTGAAAATTACATTAGATCCGCATGCCTGGGTAAATGCCAATTCAAAGAAGCATTGGCATTTACAAAAACATGACCATGTACAGCCATTCACGTGTGCAAGGCTGTATGAGGCATGTGTGGCTCCCCAGGTGCAGGAAAGCATTGTGAATCTATGATTGAGAGCTTCTCCATCCCCATGCGAGAGTGGCAACCACTGTATATTGACTTACTAGGGGTGCTGCAGATCTCAATTCAAAGTTAACAACACCCCAAGAGCAGGTCGCAAATGCAGTGTGTGCCTGCACCAGATCGCATGGTACAAAACAACCATGCAATCCGGATGCAGTGTGGCTCAAAAAAGTGCCTGCGTGTTTTCTATGCTCTGTGGTGCAATTTGAGCCCATTCAAAAATGTATGGGCTCAAATCACACTGCACAGAATTGCATGTGAATTGCACAGGAATGTGGTGCAGTTCCTGCAATTCACATGCGAGCTATAGTGTGAACCCAGGCTTAGTCCTTATCTATCCTACCTGTTAATGATCTGGGGGCATCCCCAGGTCCCTAAGTGCCTCTGCATCCACCTTAAATTTTCATTACAAAACTCAACAATTTATCATATTCATCCAGAATACAAACATTTCACCTGAAGTTTTCAACCCTGTCTGTCCCCCTTACCCAACCAGCCCTCAAGTTACTCCAGTCCATATAACTCTTCCCATCTCTTTCCACCATTCCAGTCCATGTCCCTTCTCTTTGATCATCTTTTTCTACACTTCCTGTTCTTTTTATTATTTCTTTCTCTCCAACCTTTCTTTTCCCTTTTCCTATTGCTACGGCCCTCCAGACGTTCCATTCAATTCACCTGCCTCCAACCATCTGGGACTCCCACTATTTCCATATATTTTTTTAGATGTCTTAAAGTCATGCCATCTAGCCCATTCCTTTCAAAATTTTCCCATTTTATCTTCATCTATATGGTATAATTCCTCCATCTTATTTATATATTCAACCTTTTCTATCCAGTCCCTCATTGTTGGAGGCTCCTGTGCCTGCCAGAATTAGGGAATAAGTCCCTTAGCCGCGCTAATTAGATGGTATAATACACTATTTTTATACTGTTTCACTGATTTATCTGACCTGTAAATACACACCCACGGATTATTTTATATAGTGGTCCCAAATATCTCTTGTATAAATTGGATTATATCTTGCCAAAACCTCTGTATTTTTGGATAAGTCCACCATATATGTGCCATTGTTCCCTTAATTCCACATCCCCTTCAACATAGCGGTGAGATTTCTACTCGATGTGCAACATTCGGTACCATCTCGTTAAACATTTATAATTCATTTCAACTGTGTTCATGTTCATCACCCCATGTGTTAATTTTAAACATTTTATTTTTCTGTTCACTCATTTTTGTTCCCAGTTCCCTTTCCCATTTCTCTAAGAATGAAGGAGAACCCGCCCCCTTCAATTCAATAAGAATTTTATATATCCTTGAAGTAAAATGCTTTGGCGCTATATCGCAGCTCAATATTTTTTCAAATGGGAGCATGTCCTCCGGCATCCTCAGTGGTTGAGGCAACTTTGAAAAAAAATGTCTTCATTGACAATATCCTTAGTTCATCTAATACAACAAGTAACTCTTTTTTACTCTTTAAATCCTGAAAAGTGTGCAACTTCTTCCTTTAACTACTATATCCCTTAAATGTGCATCTACATCTTTAAACCATTTCCCCGAAAATGTTGTCTTTCCCTGGTGGAAAAAACTCAGTACCCACCAGGGGCATCAACAGAGAATTATACTTCCAACCCATTTGCTTATGTACTCCATCCCATACTTTTAACACCTCCTGTGTCAATGTGCTACTAATCTCATCCATAATACGAAACGTTCGTGGTATCCAAATAATCTTCTCTAATCGTGTATTACTTAAAATACATTCTATTTTAACCCAACTTTTCCCCTGTGAATTATATGTCCAGTCTACAACTCGTGTTAGTATCACCGCAATATAATTCCTAATTGGGCAGATTTAGTCCCCCTTTGTCTTTATTATCACACAGAACTTCATACCTAATTCTCGGTTTCTTATTAGCCCAAATATATTTAAGTATTAGTTTTTTTATTATTCCAAAAAAGGATCTTGGAATGTGGACTAGGAGCATATGGAATATATACAAGATTTTTGGGACTATAACCATTTTAACCTAATTTATAAACCCAATCCAGGAGACCCTGCCCCTTGAGAGTCTTCTTGATTCATCCTTTATTTCATTTTTAATGGAATATAATTTACCTGATATATGTTCTTTATAGAAGGGGGGCTAGCTTTATTCCTAGATAACCTAATTCCTTCTCCCTCCATGTGAATGAGAAGTTGTTTGTAGGATGTGCATCTCTTTCTTTGGAACATTAATATTCAAGATCTCTGATTTTGAGGGGGTGTCAGGAATCAAGGAGTGACCAGAAAGGTGTGGACTGACACAGGGAAACGCAGGTTTCAGGTATAGTATAATACAGGTTATTATTAGCCACCCAGATATATATATATATATATATATATATATATAAACGCACAGTGAGCAAACTAACCTTCCACTAATCTTAGGAGGTGCAGGAACACAGGCGTAGTCAGGGCTGGAGAGGTGGAATGGTCAGGCCGGCCGTAGGGTTCTGTAACGACTGCCTGGTGGTACCTCTAGCGGTCCTCAGGGCAGGATTCCCCAGGGCGCGGAGTCTAAGTCCCAGTCTGCTATTCACCAGGGCCCCTGATGGTGGGGATGGACTTGGAGCAGACAGGAACCAGGTCGCGGCTCCTGAGTACACCTGCTAGTGATAGAGGGATCCGCCAGAGGTATGTGCAGGTACGGCTGGATCCGTGCAGGATGGATGGATGGCAGAGTAGTGAGCGTGGTCAGACGGGCCAAGTCAGCAACGTGCGGGCAGCAAGGTATCAAAGGAGCAGGCAGAGAATGGTCAAGGTCACAAGCCGGGTTCAGTAACTCACGGACAGCGCAGTACAGAGGATCAGGCAGAAGGATGGTCAGGGATGAGCCAGTAGTCAGAACAGGAGACGGTCAACAGGAATCAGGATCAGGCAGGGTCGGCAACAAGGTATCTTCTCACAGGAACTAGGAACAGGATACAGGGGCTCATGGGAAAACATACACCAAGGCCCAGAGCACAGGCCTGGTCATGCCTTATATACACCTTTCTGTAATCAGCCCCAGGTTTGGCTGATTGTGAGCTTCTGGCTGCTAAGAGCACCCGCTGGTCAGCTTCGGTACTGCAGCCCACACGGCAGGAGAGTCCCACCACCAGTGCTGAGAGCACCCGCTGGTCAGCTCTGGTACTGCAGCCCACACGGCAGGAGAGTCCCACCACCAGTGCTGAGAGCACCCGCTGGTCAGCTCTGGTACTGCAGCCCACACGGCAGGAGAGTCCCACCACCAGTGCTGAATCCATTCCTGACAGGGGTTTTTTTTTCAGATTTGAGTGCCCTCCATACCGTTTTAGTAATCCCATTAGATTGGGCAACGTTAATCCAGGGTTCAAAATGTAAAACAACTTGTCATGTGCATATGCCGCTACTTTATGATCTATCGCTCCTATTTTAATTCTTCTAATGTCTACACTCTTTCTTACTGTCGCCAACAGGGGTTCCAGGGATATAAAAAATAATAACAGGGATAATGGACATCCCTGTCTAGTACCATTGTGCATCTTAAAGAACCCTGAAAGGAACCTATTTGCCTTAACCGCCGCTAATGGACCATTTTAACACTCCTTTATCCACCTTAACATTTTGGTCCCTATTCCTAAGACCTCTAGGGCACGCCTTGAAATTTCCACTCACCTGCTCACCAATGACGAGTGGAAATTATGGTAGGGGCAAGTGTGTCCCCCAGGGCCGTCTTGCTGAGCAGGCTCGGATCTCAGACCGGATCTGTCATTGGCATTGGGAGCCGTCAGACTGCTCAATAGCTGAGCACAGTGAAAGCAAAGGAAGGAGTGTGTGCTGTGCTCTCTGCCTTCCCATAGAATGCAGTACCCGGCTCTGTGAGTGAACAGCGAAGTACTGCAACATTTTATAGGGTGTGTGTGTGTGTGTACATGTGTGTGTGTGTGTGTGTCTGTGTATGCATGTACATGTGTCTGTATGTATGTACATGTGTGTATCTGCACATGTGTCTGTGTGTATGTACATGTGTGTATCTGTACATGTGTCTGCGTGTATGTACGTGTGTGCGTGTACATGTGTCTGTGTGTGTATGCATGCACATGTGTTTGTGTATATGTACATACATGTGTCTGTGTGTACATGTGTCTGTGTATGTGTGTACATGTGTCTGTGCCTGGCAAATAACTCTTAAGGCCTGGCTAGTAGCTCAGGACTTGAAATTTTAAGCCCTGCTCTAGGGTATTTATCATGAACCCCCAGTCTACCCTGTCAAAAGCTTTTTCGGCATCGATCGGCAATATAATTGGCGGTAGCTTTTCTCTCTTTGCCTTTTGTAGAAGGAGCAATGTTCTTAGACCATTATCACTCCCTTCCCTGCCTTGAACAAAACCCACTTGGTCTAAGTGTATCCATTCCGACATCAGCTCTTTTAACCTAGTAGCTAGCACTTTCCCAAACAGTTTTGTGTCTGTATTTAGTAATGATATAGGTCTATAGCTTGCGCATTGTGAACTATCCTTTCCTTCTTTTAGAATAATTGTGTTATACGCTTGCAGCAACTCTTCTCTTATTCCCATTCCCTCTCCTAAAGCGTTCATATATGTGCAAAGTTTAGGGACCAATAATTCTTTAAATTTCTTATAATACCCCACCATATACCCATCGGGTCCTGGGCTCTTCCCTCCAGCTGTATTCTTCAGGGCCATATTAATTTCCTCCTGGGAGATCGCTTGTTCTAGAGAGATACATTTTTTCTTCTGGTATTTTTGGCAGGTCTGCTGCCTTTAACCTCCCTGGCGGTATGATTATTTCAGATTTTTGGTGCTGAAAGCGGTACCATTATTTTGCATGGAAATATGTAGTTTTTTTATATTGTAGGCTGTAATATTTAGGAATAACTCACTGAAATCTGTCCGAACAAGAGTCTAGTAAACATCCCGGGTAGGATAAAATTTGAAACACAAAATCATAAATTATAATTTAATAAATAATCATAAAAAATAATAATATAATAATACATTTAATTCAATAATGTAATCAAACCAAAAACACTGAAATTTGAAATATAGCGCCATAATAAGTTCGCACATTGCTGAGCAAAGTCGCAAAATCGTTTTCAGTGTCTGATGACGAATTTCCCCACAAATCATTATCACTCAATTCTGCAAGTGGTTCTGATTTACTATTGCTGTTCTCTAGCTGATCTAAACCGCTTTTGACCTAAAGGGACACTTTTTGGACGCCATGGACGTTTCTCAGTTTCCAGGCAGAAAGAACAGGACAAAGCACTAGGGACAATATGTATGTGAAATGGGTTGAGACAGCAATGTTTTACTATGTAAAATGTAAAAAAAAAAAAAAATGACATTTTTTAAAATTTTTAAATTCCCCCGCCGCCGCCGCCCGTACGTCCCGACGTCACAGGGACAGGACACAGAAGCCGGATGCCGGCATCCGCCGAAGGAGATGGCCGGGGACGCTGCAGGGGACACATCGTGGGAGCGCAGGGTAAGGTAAGTGAAGAACAAATGCCGGAGCAGTGCCGCATGGTATTCCCGAGTTTAGCTCGGGGTTACCGCTCTTGGTACTGAAATGTTACCCCGAGCTACACTCGGGAATACCGCTAAGGAGGTTAAACAATCCTGCATTTTACTCCTTCTTTTCTTCCTCTATAACTTTCTGGTTTTTAGAATTCACATCATACAGCCTGCTATAATATTGTTTTAACATTTTAGCGATATCAGTTGTAGAGTATACCAGTTCTCCTTTTTCATCTTTAATTTTTTCAATATAGTTCTTCGATTTCTTTTCATCAGGTATTTTCTTGCCCTATTCCTCCACTTATATCTTTCCTTTGAAACCCTATTAAAAATCTTGATTCCTGTTCCAAAAGATCTTTTAGCTCTTCTCTTTTAAGTAATAATCTTCGAAAATACCTCTGCATCCTGTCTTTTTTTTTTTATGTGCTTGTTCTAGTTTATACAACTCCCCCGTCACCTCCTTTCTCTCATGGTCTTTCTTTTTTTTGGTCCCTGCGGCTATCAAAATTCCCCTGATGTACTCCTTACGTGCCTCCCAAATAGTAGCCACAGAGACTTCCTCAATTTCATTTAACAGAAAAAATTAACCCCTTAACCTTCTCTCCACTTCAGGGTCCTGTATAAGCGTCTCATTTAATCTCCACATGGCCCTTTTGTTCCGTTCTTCTCCTACTTATAGTCTCGCCGTGACAGGAGCATGGTCTGAGATTGACATAACCTCTATATTGGATTTAACCAATGTGTCCAGTTGCCTATGCTCTATCATTATATAATCCAAACGTGAATACGATATATGCACAAGAGAAAAAAAAGTATAATCTCTTTCTCTGGGATGTTTCACCCTCCATGTATCTATTAACTGACTTTGATGTAATCTCCTTTTCAACATTCTTAATTTTTTACCTCCTGCTCTCTGCGTATCCATCCCTGGATCAAGACAAAAATTAAAATCTGCAAAGACCAGAAGTCTTAAAGTCCAAAAGTTTCCCTAACACTCCATATAAAAATACTTCTGGATTTTGATTCGGGCAATAAATATTAGCCAGTGCAAAATTTTGACCCCGCATTTTCCCTCTTAGACATAAAAAACCGGCCCTCTGGATCCGCCAGTTTCTCCTCCACATCAAAGCCCACATTGTTTGAGAATCTGATTGCTACTCCTTAGGCCCTCTTTATTTGTGAGTCCGCGTAATACCAAGTTGGGTAGTGCCTTGAATATAATTTAACATTGGTATCATATGATAAATGTGTCTCTTGTAAAAACACTACATCTGTGGAAAGTTGGTGAACTTCCCTAAGTATCTTATGTCTTTTAGCAGGAGAATTTAAACCTTTCACATTATATGTCGTAAAATTAATCAGGCTCATAGCTATCTGATATTTCTTTTCTCTTTCTGTTCAAAGGAAGAAAGATATAGACTACTCAAATCATGGACCTTCTCCCTACTCCACCCCTCCCATATCCCCCCACCCATCCCAACCCCTACATAAGTTGCTCTTAAAAACCCCTTGGCCTATATATTGCCCTGTAATCTGACGTGAGATTCCCCCATTGATGATTCCTAATTTGGGGTATAGCTCTGAACATGTGCACCTACTTTTACTCCTAGCTCTCAGCATGAGAGTTTAATATCTTATTTAGCCTCCTGACCTCCTGCCATCTTTATTTATCTTCCCCGAAGACTCACTAATGCGGGCCATAGATGGGATGAAAAACGGACGAAAATCGGCTGAAAAAAAAAAATCGGCCGATTTTCGGATCGTTAGTTCGGTAATCGGTCGGCCGTTTGTAGTGATTTTTGACCTTCTGGATTATCGGCCCTGCTGGAAAATAATCGGCCAAATTTGTCGTTCTGCTGATTTTCGTGACAATGATGGACAAATCTGCCGATCTTTTTCCAATTTTAAAAAATGCGCATGAGCAGTGACATGAAAGAAGAAAAGGAAAAAAAGAGAATATGAATGAGAAGAAGAAATAGAATATGAAGAAATAGAATATAAAGAGGAAGAAGCAATAGAAGAAATAGAATATGAATAAGAAGAAGTAAAAGAAGAAATAGAATATGATGAAGAAGAAGAAATAGAATATGAAAAAGAAGAAAATAGAATATGAATAAGAAGTAGAAAAAAAGAATTTCAGTCCGATATTATATTTGACATTTAAAAGTATAGCAACATTGTATCTATTTGTATCCGAATAGAAACATCTGTATCCGAAATGGATACAAATAGATACAATGTTGCAACTTTTTCGTCTTCTTATTCATATTCTATTTCTTCTTCTCCTTCATATTCTATTTCTTATTTTTATTCATATTCTATTTCTTCTTTTGCATATTCTATTTCTTCTTCTTCTGCATATTCTATATAATTGCTGTCCGTAGACGGGACGAAAATCATCCGACTTTTTTGTACCAATGGTGGTAACGTTGGCTGATTGAACGACCGATTTTTCATTTTTCTAAGAAAAAATCGTCCGGTTTTTGCCCCGTCTATGGCCTGCATAAGGGTATAGGGGAAGTGTGTGTGTGGGGGGAGGGGAAGGAGAGAGAGAAAAAAAACAGCAGTGGAGGGGAATAAATTCTCCAAATGTTATTTCTGGGATCTCCCGCAATTATTTCCATATCCTTTCTCTGTCCTCATAATGGTGGAATCTAACAACCACGTCTCTAGGGATGTCTGGTGTTACTCCTGGTGGACATCTTAACCTCTCAATCTTCAGAGGATCTGTGGCTATTCTACCTATCATTGAGTTGAACACTCTTTATTTTTTCCCAGAGATCCTCTTCATGCGAATCTTCTGGCAGGCCCCTAACCCTTAAACTATTTCTTCTTTCTCTATTTTCTTGGTCCTCTAATTTAAATGAGAGCTTCTTCTGTTTGCATCTCTTCCAACCGCATCTCCAAATTAGTTATCTGCTGGGCCTGTGTCTCCATTTTCTCCTCTACTTCTACTTTTGTTAACATTCGTCCAAGATCCTTATGAATCACCGCCATTTAATTTTTCATAGAAAGTTCAAATATTTCAAACATTTCCACCATCTCTATTTTTGTAGGCATCTGTGATATTCATTCTCTGTTGTTCCACGGCCTTTTGATCTTTTACACTATCCATGTTTATAGATTCATTATTCTCATCCCTTCCCATGTTCCAAATGACAATCTGGACCCTCATATTTTCTACTTCCTTCCTGTTGTTTCTCCGTCCATTGTGTCTCTGGACTTTTTTCTTGTAATGGCATATATTTCTTTATTGTGCTGATGTTTGTATTAGGTTGTGGGGTTTTTACACCCCCACCTTTGGCAGGTCTGTTCTTCATATTGACTAGGCTTAGCCGCTAATTTCTACTCAATGATCAACATCATTATCACCTAGGAAAAGTTCCTCCTACTTGTTCTTCTCCAATAACTTTTGCAAACCCAGATAACTTTGCAACACTTTTACATTTAGATGCAATAGCACTTGGCCTCTGGGATCCCCCCATTCCTTGGTCTTTTAACCGCCCAGCCCACCACTCAGGTATACATTTACCAGCAACAGAGACAGTAATAACTTAGTTCTTCCAACCGTTGCCCACGGCAACTCACCATCACCCTCTGAG